AAGGGCTGAAGAAAGGGAGGTATGGTGGCACCCAAATAAATGCAAAATTTCGAATGGATAAGCCAAGTCTTTTTGCTCCCATGTACGACAGGGGAGGTCAGGAATAACTGCAGGAAAAAATGGAGCGCACTGTGAGTATATTTCAAATTTCATTCAATAAACTGTTATCTGGGATAATGCACTAGACCAATGCGCTCTTGTTCCATATTTTCCTGCAACTTCTCATTGTAGGCTGAGATGGAAACTTGCTATCTAGTTGGCCATTTAATCACTTTCACCAAATACCATACACTCCTGTTAAGGGCACTCTTGACGCCATTGATGGCATTCTTATTGGGCAGGAAACAGGCAAGTGTGTGAGGCTTATCCCTGGACTCTGGATAGTCAGGTTCCTAATAAGGTAACAACAGACACTGTGTAGTGTCTGCTTTTAGGTACGGCCTTTTACTTTATTTATTTATTTATTTTTAACTCTTTGAGGACAAGGGACGTATTTGTCCCATGTTTGTAATTGCGTGTATCATCTGATTAAGAACTTAAAACTCTTTTTTTTTTTTTGGTTTGAGTCAAAATATTAGTTCTTATCAACAAACAACAAATGGATCTAGCTTTTTGCCAATTATTTCATCAAATGGCTTAGTTACAGCAACTGAAATGTACGAACTTTAAAAACAAACAAATTGATTCTTTTGGCGTTCCAAAACCTTACGGTCCTCAAAGGGTTAAATACTTTTATTAGAAGAAGAAAGGCATATCAAGGCATATACAACTACGGATCACAGTCCGAACATAGACATAGCACGTAGCCGCCCGTTTCGCAGACGGGCCATGGGTTTAAACTGCAATACAAATCGAGGTGGGATATAACATTATATCAAGAGTATATTAAAAAACAGCAGATACAAAGAGTATAATAGATAAGTCAATATAGGTATAATGAATACTGACCCATGTATTAGTGAGCTCTTATGTTAAGGGAGTGTGGTGTGTTGGGTAAGGATAGCACATGATGGTGTGTATGTTATGATTTTTGTGTCCATATCAAGAACGTGTGAGCTATGTAAAATTATCACACCTGTATGAGAGTAAATTCTCTATTTTGTTGGGGATATATGAATAATGAGGGCGTATAAAAGGTGTGAGATAAAGAGAAGACAGAAAGGAGAATAGTTAGAGAAAGAAATGTAGAGTGAGGTAGAGGAGGGGAGGGGAGATTAAAGAAAAAAAAAGAAGGGGGGGAGAGGGGGAATGGGTAAGGGGATGTAGAATGGGTAAGGGGTAAAGGGGATGTAGAATGGGTAATTGCGGATAAAATAGATCACATCATTTTGTACGAGCCGAGCCAGAAAGATAGTCATATAGCTTAGGATGCAATACTTTCAAGATCATTCAATGGGGCAACACGTGTGTCAGGAACCCGGAAGGCAGGCCACAATGCAGAGTCTCAGCCCGTCCAAATGTGCATCAAAAGCGTCTTCGGTGAACAGGGCGTTCCCCGGTACAGCATTGTGTCTAATCATTCAGTCAGGGGGTGTAGGCTGTTCATGCATTAATAGGTGGTAGGTAGTGGTGGTTTTGAAATGACTCCAACAGACCCATGTCTTCCTGAATCTCTCGGGATGTTCCTTTGCTACAGAAATCAGTTCCTCCATTTCCTCAATTTTGTTGATCCTAGCAAACCATTCTCGGATAGTGTACTTTATTTTTTAAACATCTTTTATTTAGCATTTAATTTTTATAGTTTACAATGCCTGAAAGGTTTGTTTTAACTCATCCTGATATACTGTAACAAGACATGACTGTGGACTGTTAAGGAGAATACATGAGAGCCAGCACCCAATATGAGGGTAACACATCTTACAGTGAACAAGGTGCAGTAGCCAATGTCAGTCTATTGACATCTGAAAATGAAATTATGATTTGTGGATTTGAGTCACGGTGCAGTGCTTCCGAGCAAGTTTTTCAATCCCAAAAAGCTTCTGATGCAAAGAAAAGCCTCCCCAAAACAGGCCATATATAGAGTACACCATGTTGCCAAATATCTGCTAATTCTGATAAGTCTAAAGCCCCGTACACATGGGCCGAAGTCACATCAGAAGTCAAGCTAGTGTGAACCAGGCTTAACAGATATATTATCAATATTCCAATAAATAGAATCATAGCCTATGTATTACCAAATAGGATTAAAGTGGTTGTAAAGGCTCATGCATTCTAGGCATGAGTGTATAAAACCGTCTGTGTGCAGCAGTGCCCCCAGCCCCCTCAATACTTACCCAAGCCCTATCGAGATCCAGCGATGTGCATGACAGCCTCGGCAGTCCCCCGCGTCTCTTGTTCCATATTTTCCTGCAAGTTCTCAGTATAGGCTGAGATGGAAACTTGCTATCTAGTTGGCCATTTAATCACTTTCGCCAAATACCATACACTCCTGTTGACACCATTGATGGCATTCTTATTGGGCTTATCCCTGGACTCTGGATAGTCAGGTTCCTAATAAGGTAACAATAGACACTGTGTAGTGTCTGCTTTTAGGTACAGCTTTTACTTTTTTTTTAAACGTCTTTTATTTAGCATTTTTTAATGACTTTTAATTTTTATAGTTTAAAATGCCTGAAAGGTTTGTTTTAATTCATCCTGATACACTGTAACAAGACATGACTGTGGACTGTTTTAAATGAGAATACATGAGAGCCAGCACCCAATATGAGGGTAACAAATCTTACAGTGAACAAGGTGCAGTAGCCAATGTCAGTCTATTGACATCTGAAAATGAAATTATGATTTGTGGATTTGAGTTATGGTGCAGTGCTTCCGAGCAAGTTTTTCAATCCCAAAAACCATCTGATGCAAAGAAAAGCCTCCCCAAAACAGGCCATATATAAAGTACACCATGTTGCCAAATATCTGCTAATTCTGATAAGTCTAAAGCCCCGTACATATCGGGCGGTATCGGCCGGGTTCAACAGAAACCAGCCAACATTCGACATGTGTGTACTGCAGCCGGTCCAACAGAAGCCAGACAATGGCCAAGGGCACTGATCGGTGTGTTCTGGTGTGGGGGGGGCAGTCTCCCTTTCAGAACACAATAGCACAGCCCGGGAGATTACTGTACAGCGATCTGTCTGTTTTCTTTTTAGTTCAGCCTGCTGGGTTGAATGAAGATAAACTGATAGTGTGTGTGGAGCATAATTCTCACCTGCCCTAGGCAATGATATCTAGCTATGTAAGAAGGTTAAAATGTAAGCTAACAATGGCTGCTGAAAACAAACATACACTATAGGGTTCAGTTCACACTACTGCGTTCTGACATAATGCTATTTACAGTGCAATTATGTGGTGTGACTTTGATGAGAATTTGCATATTCTACAGGGCTAATTCGCATTGTAAATTGCATTACAGTGATTAAGTAACCCTTTTCAAATCACATAGTTCTGAGTTGTATTGTTTAGAACAGGCATCATTGAAAACAATGGGAGTTCCTTTATCAGGCCATTCTGTACAACTCAAGTCACATCAGAAGCAGGGGCAGCCTGACAACTCATGGGGCCCCCGGGCAATAGGGGATCATGGGGCCCCTGTGTCCTCATCCACACCCAAAAAAGCCTATGAAAAAGCTAATGAAAGGTACCAGGGGCATCTCATGGGGCTCCCTACTGACCCCGGGCCCTCCGGCAGTGCCCTAGTTTCCAAATGGTCAGTCCGCCCCTGATCAGAAGTCAAGCTAGTGTGAACCAGGTTTAACATTATTATCAATATTACAATAAATAGAATCATAGCTTATGTATTACCAAATATGATTAAATTGGTTGTAAAGGCTCTATGCATTCTATGCATGAGAGTAAAAAAAAATCTGTGTGCAGCAATGCCCCCAGACCCCTTAATACTTACCCAAGCTCCATCGAGATCCAGCGATGTGCATGACAGCCTCGGCAGTCCCAGGTCTCTGCCTCCTCATCGGCTGAGACAGCAAGCGGGAGCCATTTGCTCTCACTGCTGTCAATCACAGCCAGTCAGCCAATGAGGAGAGAGAGGAGGCAGGCCAAGCTGCAGCTCTGTGTGTGAATGGACACACGGAGCAGCGGGTTCCCCCATAGCAAGCTGCTTCCTATGGGAGCATCCAACAGAAAGGAGGAGCCAGGAGTGCCTGCAGGGGACCTAGAAGAAGGATCCACGCTACTCTGTGAAAAATCACTTCAAAGAGCAGGTAAGCATAGACATGTTTGTTATTTTGCTAAAACAAAAAAAAGATTGTTTAGTATCACTTTAATGCAAATAGTAAATCACAAATACATGTGTACAGATTTTCAACACTGATCCAATGCTTTATAATCTTCAACTAGAAGAATTGTCTCCTTTTCATTCGCCACATGATTCCCATATGCTTTGTAGCTAGGAAAGGCTAGGCTAAGTTTTACTGACTGTTTTACTTGGAAACTTTGTGTTCTTTGTGAGCTCCTGAACTGGTACTTTTCCCCCTCGCTTCCTTTTGTAGGAACAAGCATTGCACGTTAGTTGTGGTCATGAGTACCTCTATATGCACACTACAAACCCCATAGTCTCTCTCAAGAGCCATCAAGCAAGGGTGGCTTAGTTCCTACATGAAGTGGGACCATGGAGAATAAATGTAGCCACCCTCTAGCAGGAAGTTGGATCACATCAGCAAAAAAAGAAAGGAATTTGGAGATTGGAGGAGGCTGAGAGCAATACAAGGGGCTTTTTGTTAACCACTTGCCCTGCAAAGGATTTACCCCCCTTTCTGACCAGGCCATTGTTTGCGATACAGCTGTACTTTAACTGACAATTTTGCGGTCATGCAATGCTGCACCCATATTAAAAGTATGTCCTTTTTTTTGGCCACAAATGGAGCTTTTTTTTTACTGGTATTTGATTGTCTGGACGGTTTTAATTTTTTTGCACTATAAACAAAAAAGACTGACAAAAAAATATATTTTTGACTTTTTGCTATAAAACATATCCAGTAAAAAAATAAAAAAAGCAAATTTTGTCATAGATTTACGGCAAAATATATTCTGCTACAAAAAATCCCAATACGCGTAAATTAATTGGTTTACGTGAAAGTTATAGCATCCACAAATGGCTGTATATATACTGAAATTTTTTTTTTATACTAGTATTGGCGCAGTCAGTGACCTATAGCTGGACTGCTGCACTGTGGGACTGCGGTGGGCATTCTGACACTGGGGGGGAACTGACTGTCAGTGACATCCCCAGTGACACCAATACAGTGATCAATGCTAATAAAAAGCACTGACACTGTACTAATGATACTGGGCAAGAAGGGGTTAACATCTGGGGTGATCAAAGGGTTAACTGTGTGCTGTGTTTTACTATGCAGAGCAATACAAAGCAGTGTGCAGGAGCTGACAGTGGAGAGATCTGTATTGTTTACATACAGACCTCTACCCCGTCAGTGTTCCTTGGCGATCGCTGGGTGCTAGCGGGGAATCTCCAGCCGGGACCCAACAATCGACAGCTGTAGTGCGCCCCCTACCCAGAAATATAAAATCATGTATAATAATGTATATATACGTGATTTTGCGCAGCCTTGCCGCCCTGTAGCAGTAGTTCTGCTATAGGGCGATCGGGAGGAGGTTAAGGCATCTGGAAGGGATTTTTTCATTCCATTTGTTGCTTTTTTTTAATTGTTTGCTTTTATAGTGGTGAGCAGAAAATGCTCTTTGCTCTGTCATGTCCAAATTATTATTGTATTCTAATTTGATTTTGCAAATAAAAATATGTTTTGCTATTCTTCTGTCAGGTCACTATTTAAAAGAGAGTGAAAGCTTTTTTGGTGATGCTTATCTTGAGTCACAGGATTGCACTTCTTGTGATTTCCTGTGGCCCAGAATCAGCCAAACAGCAGGATAAAGTCCACCGTCAGCTGACATAATAGAGCCACTCCAGACTCTGGAAGGATTGCAATAATAATAATAAAAAAAACTTTTCTTTTAATAGCTCCTATAAACACAAGAAATACACAGGATAAAAGAAAAAAAGGGACAATTACATCAAAAGCTTGTCTAAAGAAAAAAGTTTTTAGTTTTGATTTCAATGAGTTTAGAGAAGATGACTCTCTGATATTCTTTGAAAGTGAATTCCAGAGTTTTGGAGCATGGCAGGCTCTGTTTAAATGTAGATGAGTAGGGAGGACGCTCACACAGAAAACCAGAATTTGAGGAGCGGAAGTTACAAGAAAGGGAGTAAGTTGATAAAATTTCAGACAGATAAAAGGGGGCCAAGCCATGTAGAGACTTAAAGGTGAGCGAGAGGATCTTAAAGTCTACGCAAAACCTGCCGGGTAACCAGTGCAAAGACTCCAGGCTAGGGGTAGTATGATCACTTGTGCCAGACCTAGTGAGGATTCTTCCTGCAAAGTTTTGTACATATTGTAGTTGAATAATGGATTTCGGTGCACCAATGAGTAGAGCATTGTCATGTCCAGAAAACACAAAGGTATAGATCAGCTTTTCAGCTACAGTGTATGATAGCATTTGACGCAGCAACGACTCTCTAGAGGAAAAAAAGATGTTCTGACAACTTTTTGTACTTGTGAATAAAAGGGTAAACTAGCATAAAATATCACCTCTAGATTTTTTTCAACTTGGATTGAAGCTCAAGTATATTGCCATCGATGGATAGGCTATCAGGACTTGCCTTACATAATTGATAGGGGGTGCCATTAAGCATGACTTCAGTCTTTTCGCAGTTTAATTGGAAGAAATTGTGGAATATCAGGCATCCGGGATGTACCCAGATGCCTGATCAGCAGCTGGCTCTGCCTCTCAGCACACCACTAAGAGTGTGAGCCAGCCCTTCCAACCCACTCCCCAGTCCGGTGCCCCAGTGAGCGCTTGAGGGGGCAGAACAGAGGGCTGGTGACTGACAATCACTGCCCTCTGCTCACAGTGGGCCAAGAACTGAGCAATCAGCAGTCATGTGATCACTCATTTCTCTGGCTTAGAAGGCAGGGGACAGCTGCAGCATCCCACCGATGTTACAGCATAGAGGTGAGTATGTGTATTTATTTTTTTCAATTCCCAAATCTATTCTTTAAATTTGGAAATAGGTTAGAGTGTTTTTTTCCTCAACCTACAAAAAAGGATGCAGCAAAGAAGTCCTATCATATCGGTGGAGCTGCCTGTATTACAGAATAGATGGGCCAGCATTGCAGCGCACTTTGGATAGGTGTAGGTAATTGTGCCCCATGTTGCATTGCAGCTCTTGCATGTTGCAAATGTTATCCATTTTTTACAATACACAATCTAATCCTGTTACTTTTGGGTAACCCTCTCAGTGAGAGGTACTGAACCCTGGAATGAAATGATTCTGTCTCCTTTATGTCATGTGGTATAGTATAGAAAATGTAATTCAGTGTGTATATATTAATATGCAGAAAAAAAATAAGCCTGTATTTTGAGAATTTGATTATCCTTATTATAACCATGATTTTCCATGTCTAATTTTTTGGCTTTTTTTTCCCCTAAAGCTACTACAAGCACCAGTGCTGGCCTGGGTATGGGAGCCATTGCGGGTATCCTCATTGTCGTCTTTGTTCTTCTCTTGGTGGCTGTTGATGTGACCTGCTACTTCCTGAACAAATGTGGTCTGCTTATGTGTATTGCTGTCAATTTCTGTGGAAAGGCTGGGCCGGGAGCCAAGGGCAAGGACATTGAAGAAGGAAAGGCAGCTTTTTCGTAAGTAAGGGGGGAGAACTTAGTGAACCAATTATATAAAAATAAACGATTTTAATGTATTATGCTGTTCAGTGGGTATAGTCCTTTTAGTCATTCTCATATATCCATTTTAAAGTAAATACTTAAAGTATACTCAAACCAAAAAGTTCTAAGCTAACACTACTTCTATGGGTCCAGGATCATAAAGCTTGCAAGTAAGCTAATTTTCTTGCGGATTGCCCTCCTACAATGTACTGTAGACCAGCAGCCTGTACAGGCACAGTGACATACCTATATGTAGCTGGCCTCTTCTGGGTACAGGGCGCATGTGTGCCCCCGCCTGCCGGCTAGCACTGTGTACAATCTCAGTTTGTCAGCAGGTCCCGGTCAAAATTCATGGCCAGGAACTACTAATTGGCTGTGTCTAATCACAGCCCAGAGCCCTGTGCTGACAATCAACACAGGGCTCTGTACAAAAGCAATGATCTCTCTGTTTCTTCAAAGCAGGTAAAATAAACAAAGAGATCTTTAGTAAAAAGCAGCACATATTACACAAATTAACACTTGTTAGGCACACACTTAACCCCTCAGTTACATGAGATGTTAATCCCTTCCCAGCCAGTGTCATTAATACAGTAACGGTGTATAGTATTATTATTATTATTATTATTATTATTATATAGTAATTGCGTCACTGGAGATGTCAGTTAGTCAGTTCCCATCCACTGTTATTTAGTGTCAGATTGCCTGCCTCATTGTCACAGTCCCACTATTTTGCTGATCACTGCCATTACTAGTATAAAATCAATCAATAAATACATAAACATTCCAGTATATATACCATAGTTTGTAGATGATATAACCTTTACACAAACCAATCAATATACACTTATTAGGATTTTTTAGTAGCAGAATACATTTTGGCCTAAATTTATGAAGAAATTTGATTTTTACATTTTTTTTTATTGGATATGTATTATAGCAGAAAGTAAAAAAAAAAATATAATTTTTTTTGTGAAAAATGTCAGTCTTTTATTGTTTACATAATAAAAAATAAAATAACAAACCCAGTGGTCTTTAAATACCACCTAAAGAAAGCTCTATTTGTGTGAAAACAATTAGATAAATAGTATATGTTTATATGGGTAAAAATAAATATGTATGCCTGTGACTGTAAGGTGTTGATAATTAAACTTTAACATATGGTTCATTCGCAGGAAAGATGAGTCTAAAGAACCCATTGTTGAGGTACGAACAGAAGAGGACAGGACACCAAACCATGATGGAAGCAACCAGACAGAACCCAATGAGACCACTCCATTAACAGAGCCTGAGTATGTGTGATAATTTACAGAATATTGTGTATATTTAATGACTATGAAACAGCATATCAGTAGATGGAAGAGGACAGAATAATCTGAAGACCATAATAATTGATTGCTTTGGAGTTTTTTTTTAGCATTTGTCCCAGACTGGACAGGTCTTTTCTAGGCACCTTCTCATTTCAGATTCTGATGATAATCCACTATCACGCAAGGTCATTTTAATAACTTCAAACTAAATGGTCTGTCTAAGAGAAGGTGTCATTAGGTGTCTACTATTACCCTTATAGGTCACAAAAATGTTTCTGTGCACCTTGCTGGTTTGATTTCACATTGGCTATTGAGAGCCTGACTTTAGGGTTAGACCCCACCAAAATACCATGCACTCCTGGTGAAAGCACCTAGTAGCCATTATTGGCATTCTTATAGCTCAGGAAGTAGGCAAGTGTGTGAGGCCTAGACCAGGGGTCAACATAATAAGGTTCCTTATAACAAAGTTTAACTAAGGCCTTGTTCACGCTATATGTGCATAAATACTTATGAAAAAAAGGTGCAGATTTGATTTGCATAGAATATTTTGGGCTTGGTCACACCAAGTGCAGTGATGTGTGTTTTTCTTACATATGTCTCTGCAAGGGCACAAGGAAAACAATTATTTTTCCTTTTCTGTTCCCTGTTCACACCACAATGTTGGTGTCATTTGAAGTTATTTTTGCACATGAAATTAGCGCACAACAAATTGCATATAACACAAGTGTTGTGGTATAAACAAGGCACTTAGAAAAAAAATTGCAGAAACAGGTGCAGAAAAACACACAAATTTGCACATTGTGTGAATGAGACCTAAATCAAAGAGGTACACAGGGGAGGGTGTTTATATATAATAAAGGTAACAACGAATATTGGGTTTGATTTACTAAAGGTAAATATATTGTGCACTTCAAATGCACTGCTTTATGCCCGAGGGGAATCTCTGAAATGAGGCAAAGCTCTGCTGATTTCTTTCATCCAATCATGTGCAAGCAAAAATGCATTTTTGTTATTTATTTTCCTTGCATGTTCTCCTCAGATCTAGAGCAAGCGCACTTCCGAGTGCACTTGCAGTGCACAGCCTATTTGCCTTTAGTCAATCAACCCCATTGTGTATGGTATACTGTAACATGACCTGCCTGTGGATTATTTGGGAGAATACATGAAAGCCAACACCCGAGATGATGGTAACATGTTTTTTTAAAAAACAAGGTAAAGTAGCCCATGTCAGTTAATTAATATCTGCTTTTTAGCATCCTTGAGTGCAAAG